TCTGTGATTGGAGCCTCGTTAGAGCTGATGTCGTCCTCGTTCTTCGCCATTCTCACTGCTCGTTTCGTCTGTTTCCACTCGTCACTCCTTCCTCTATTGTCCAGTGTCGAACCACCGGTGCTTAATGTGGGGAGGCCACTGATTTGGGTAACTGAACTCAGATATGGGTGACGGTACTTTATTCTCGAGTCTTCGACGGCGTGCTTATCTACAGCGCCTCGCGCGGCTGACTGACTGATTCACATGAACATGCGTTAGCGTACGTGGCGCGCACCATGTTCCCTACTCGTTCCCTACAACACGATGAGAGGGTATTTCAAGCAATGGCGAGAATCCAAAAGAGCGGATCCGTATGGAAAAATGCTCGTTCTTACAAAAGCAAATAAAGTATCTCGGGTTCATCATCGATCAACACGGAAGAAAACCCGATCCGGCGCAAGTTCGTCCCATCGGGGATCTTCCGACTCCAAAGGACGTTAGAGATCTTCAGGCTTTCTTGGGCCTAGTGACGTTCTATTCAAATTCCATCCCCGAAATGAGAAGGATTGAGGAGCCCTTGACACCTCTGCTGAAGAAGGAAGCTGTTTTCGTATGGAGCGAGAAGTGCGAGGAAGCTTTCAAGCACGCCAAAAAGGTCTTACAAAGCGACCTGGCCCTCACTCATTTTAACGCCGAGCTGCCTCTGGAAGGGTCGGCAGATGCTTCTCAGAAAGGCATCGGCGCTGTTCTCCTGCATAATTTCCCAGACGGTACCAAAAAAGCCGTAATGCATGTGAACAGAACGCTTACGGAAACTGAACAGCGGTACGGTCAGATCGAAAAAGAGGCTCTGGCTCTCGTACACGCTGTAAAGAAGTTCCATAAATATCTGTATGGCCGTCACTTCATCTTGAACACGGATCATAAGCCCCTACTGGCCATCTTTGAGATAGATGTTACGAACTATCCCTCGGTATCCCTAGAATGACTGGGTCTGACCATCTGGACACTGGATACCCGAGGAGATCGCCGGATTGCTACTGGTATCCTGTACTCTTCGATCCGTCTCGCCTACGCGAGAGCTCGATAGCCAGTGAGGTGCGCAGGCGTTCGCTACCGTCGACCATCGAAGTTCAGACGTGCCTGGGCACGACACTCGCACTCGAGCAAGGCGTTTCTCCAACGGGCTCTCTCTTTATTGATATTCTTCAAGAAATACCTATGGCCATTCGCCACACTCCCGGCCAAATTCCGGCCGACTCTCAACGATATATTTGTAATCAATTAATACACAGCATCGCGGCCTCGTGACTAACAATGTGGCACACATTGGAATTTCTGCCCGGGACGCTCGATATGAACAAGTCTTGCGGGGAACACTGGATGTTCCGGAACAGAAGGCGGAAGGAATTTGAGATGCTAGAGATTGGATCTGCGCGACAAAGACTCGACATTGAAATGGACATCGGATTCACAGATCCTCGAGTAGTTGATATGTGCAATGTGCAGCGTCTGAACCCCCCATTGGTCCATTCATCCTCTCCCGTCGCCAACCTCGCGATCCCGAATCCCTTTTCTCCATCATTTGTGGCCGTGCTCTGGAAACTACCGACCATGCCGGACTGTGACTTCGATCGTAGCCCATTGGGGCTGTTCGTGCGCTCTGTGTACATCCAAGCCTGCCTCCGTGGCGTGCCGTTCGGCGTGCTACGCGCCGCAGCCCGCGTCGTGTGGGATGGAATGAATTACGCCGAGAGGGGACCCTACATCGAGCGCCGGCGGGCCTCTCGAAGCCGCGGCACGCGGGATCCAGCCCCCCCCTTGACCTTGCAGAAGTCCGAGACCAAGGAACGCAGGTGGGAAGGGGCAGTTCACAAGTGGAAGCTGGCGCGTCGAGGGAAACGAAAGCAGGTTCGCAACAGTTCTTGTTCCAAGATTGGAGATTTTCAGAATAGTTTTTCCGATTTTCAATAATCCTGGAGCAAGTCGACCCATTCATATGGCACAGCTAATTATTCCGAGACCTTGCAGAAGTCCGAGACCGAGGAACGCAGGTGGGAAGGGGCAGTTCACAAGTGGAAGCTGGCGAGTCGAGGGAAACGAGCCCCTGCCCGTCGGACGATGGTGACCGATCAAGGTCAACTTCAGGAATCGTCGAGCGACTAAACGGCGTTACCGGTAATCACATACCTTGCTTCCTCCATACTCTGAATCCCTGCATCGATGTCGATTGATTCTAATATTCATCGTCGATTCCAGCGGAGCTCGTGTCGCCTTCGAGGGAGACCCCCCCGCGACATATAAGTCCGGAAAGAGGGCTTGGGTTGACGGAGCCAATCTTCCGTGAGTGATTTTACGGGCTTCCGTGGCTACACTGGGAATTCGAATGAAATGAATCGATAGGATAAAGAAAGCTATAAGGAAAATTATTTTCCCTTCCAGTTGACAGTCGCTCCGGAACATTGAGCCATATCACCTCGGGCAGGGAACTGCAACCGGAACTTCGCCAACTGTGGATTGATATTGGAGAGCTCTATTCTGCGACTTGGCTCGGTAACATCCCGACGCAAAAATGCGACATCGCATGTCTTCTACCCCCGACGCCATCACAGGCAGACTCTCTGATCGACCTCCAAGTGAAGGTATCGGTCTTCATGATCGCGATCTTCCGGTCGGAATACTGTGCAGTCGAGCTGATCCGGTTGAACTCTGTGGACGGTCTGAGAACGCGCGGGCTGCCGGTGGTCGATATGGTGTTCGCCAGGCTGACAGCGATGGTGGCTCACAGGACTGTAAGCATCGACGGTCGGACCTATGTGCGTCTACCGAAGGTGCTTGTATCGGCGCGAGGCGAAGCCGGTTCCGTGGCCGCGGCATGTCTCCTGTGCCCTCACAGGGAGTCAGAACCACATTTCCTGAACATCGAAGACCCGAGCGCGACGGGCAACCGAATGCGATACCTCACGGGCACTCATTTCAATAACCGGCATCGGTCGCTGAAGCATCCCGTCGCACTCCGCTTTCACCGACTTCTCCCGAGTCCACTACGTCCAACTGACGGGGGCCTCTGGCCGATGGATGTCTGCTTGGAGCAGCTGCAGCTTTCCATCCTATCCCAAGCGACCCTGCGAAGGATGTACGGAATCGATTCGAATTGTGCAATGGTAATGATGATCTCGGAAGCCAGCGACAATTTTTTGAAACAAATCGGATATGCTGCGAGCCGCGCTGCCGATTTCTGGAAGCCGACGTTTCGCTCATGCCGGAAAAGAAGGGCGAAAGCCACCGACTCGTCCACGTCAAAGAAGAGCCGCGGCTCCGAAAGCACTGCCGGCCGTGAAGCCGAACTTGAAACCGAGAATGAAGCTGGGAGTGAAGACGAGAAGGAGGCGCGAGAATCCGAGGATGAGGCTGGGAGTGAAGACGATAAGGAGGCGCGAGAAACCGAGAATGAAGCTGGGAGTGAAGGCGAGAAGGAGGCGCGAGAAACCGGGAATGAAGCTGGGAGTGGAGACGAGAAGGAGGCGCGAATGTCCAAGGAGACATCGACCGAATATGCCTCCGATTAGGACCGGCTACGAAATTTTCCCCAGATGCATTGAGGATCAAAGTCAAAAAATTTGCCCCAGGGGCGTCTAGAAAAGCCAGAGTCTTTTCTCGTATCTACGTAGACAACGTAGACAACAAGAATAATAATGCCAGTACTGGGGAATGAATTGTTTCAAACATATCGTGAGTTGGAATATGAGTTTCAGAATAAATATTCTTCAAATGGATACATTTGGAACAATTATTTTGGATACATCGAGAGCTGGAATGATTGTGCCAGGAAGAATGTGTTTCAGAACAAATATTTTGAAAATGGCCACAGATGGAGCGAGTTGTAGAAATTGCTCGAGGTAGAAATTGTGGGGTAGTGAGAACTCCATGCGGGAAGTAGCTGGGGAGAGCTGCCCACGAGTCTGGAACAATTGTCCCAAATCTGGTTGAGTCTGGAGCAATAGTTCCAGATCTCATGGAGTCTGAAACAATTCTCCCGAATTTGTTCAAGTTCGGGACAACTGTTCCAGATCTTATCATATCTGGAACAATTGTCCCAAATCCGTTGAAGTTCGGAACTCAGAACTATTGTTCCAGATCTCATCATATTCAAAACAATTGTTCCGAATCTGTTCAAGTTTGGAACAACTGTTCCAGATCTCGTCAAGTCTGGAACAATTGTTCTACATCTCAGAGAGTCTGGAACAATTGTTTCGAATCGCATCTAGTCGGAACTGTTGCAGATCTCTGCTCCTGTCCGTCCCCTCCATACATAGCCATAATAATTGTTCCGCTCGGAAAATCCCCTCCGCTCGCAAACATCCTGCAGCTGTGGAATTAATCCTCAGCTCGATGGTTTGTGACATTAAGAGGAAGCCCCGTCGATCTCGAAGATAATGATTGGTGTCTCGAGCTAAGAGCACCGCTGCTTCAGGAGAATGAATTTCGTATCGTCGTTTCCTGTAAGAGAATGCTCCGGGAGGGAAGAATGGACGGAAACTCAGGACACGGACAGATGGCGGGACAGAGAGCGCTTGAAGCACCAGAGGAAACACTCGCGGCTTCGGTGGATTCCTGTCGCGAAATTAGCCGTGCTTCCTGAGCTTCATGGGCTCTGTGCCGTTTGTCTGTTTGGTTTCAGAGTGGGCTCGCGAGCAGGACTGACTTGGGTCCGACCATGGAGAGAAACGGCGGAGGCTGAAATAAAAACAAAATTGTGGGGTAGTGAGAACTCCATGCGGGAAGTAGCTGGGGAGAGCTTGGAACTTGAGTCGACTCCCCAAATCGGCGGAAGTCATCATTGAGATCACTGGTAGAGCCTTGCCCCGGCCAGTGTCCACCCGCTGGAATAGTCTGTTCGACTGTCTTTCAGCATTGTTGGAAGTGAGGCAGCACCTCCCCGAGCTGTAGCGTCCCTTGAGCGACCAAACAATACATGGACCAGCGAAGAGATCTCCTACATCGAAGAATATATACGGTGTATGAGACCCATTGCTGTGGGTTTGGATAAGCTACAAGCTGAAAAGCAAGCTTTTTATGGAACGCTCCTCCCGACGCTCTACGCTGTGAAGGAGCGCCTCGCCGCGGTCGCCAGAACGAACCTACGATATTGCCGATCAATTGCCGACGGATTGCTTTTGAGCATAGAAACGCGCTTCAGAGATGTGTTCGACTCTCGTAGCGCTCAAGGCGAGAAAAGTGCTATAGCTGCGCTAACGATGCCATCATTCAAAACTTCGTGGTTTAAATGTATTTCCTCGGCAGATCAGGAACGAATCCTCAGCCGATTCAAAGAACTTATTCGGGACCGACTGCCGGTTGGATGTGTCTATGAGTCTGAGCCGTCTGAGCTGACGGGGCGAGACGACTTCTACGACTTTGAGGATGAGCCCATTGGAACACCGACTACATCATCGGGATCATACCCCGCAGAGGGAGCGATGCAAGAGTACCTGCGCGACACCGACACGGCTCTTGCGATGCTCGAGAAACATCCCGCGATCGCGGCTATATTACGCGAGTACAATACCCAACCTCCGTCAAGTGCGGAGGTGGAACGGCTGTTCTCATTGGCGACCATCTTCAACCATTCGAGAGCTAATCGATTGAGCGACGCCAAGTTTGAGCAAAGAGTCCTTCTGCGGAAAGCTGGTTGTCTCGACAACTGAAGCCTGGTCACAAGTCACAATTAGCCGTAGTCATCTGAGTTTGAGGGTCCGTCCGAATAATACTGTGAGAATAGGATTATTCAGTTATTCATTATTCAACAGAGATTGACGGGCGTTAGTATCTGGATCATTAGACTACTTAGGCAAACGCAAGAGACATCGTTCGGACACGTCGATACGGATGTCGTTCAAATGTAGCGCGCCGCGTCACTAGAGAACGCATGTCGTCGTAAGTAAGACGAGAGCAGACACTTCCGAGGCAGCAGTCGAAAGAGTCGTAACGCGCTAAGAGAAGTGAATAAATCGAACCTCGTGTGAAACTGAAATCTGTTCCATCCTGATCCAGCAATCTTACATTTGGTGGAGAGGCGGACCGTCCCCGACCCAGCGAAGAGATGTCAACCGCGCGGACACCGATCAAAAACGTGGCCGAAGATAAATCGGCAAATGGAGAGAAAAATACCGATCCTGCAAGCTCCAATCCCGAAAAGGACCCGAAGACAAAAGTGTACACCCCGTCTTGCTCGACATCGAGACAAAAGGTCGAAGAGTTGAGTCGATCCAGCGAGGCCAGCGAAACGACATCCGAAGACGAAAGCCCTACGAGCGAGCCAACAACTCCAGAATTCAATCTCAAAGGAGCGTCTGGCGAACAGCTACTCGCATGCATGTCGGCGATTCGGCAAAGACTACAAGAGATGTCTTTCTGCCCGATGCCGTATCCGACCTTCAATGGAACCGGAGACGCAGCAGCATGGCTACGGAGCTACAAGAAAGCGGCGAACTTCAACAAAATATCGACGGATGATAAGCTAGACCGTGTCGGAGCGTCTCTAGAAGGTGACGCCAGTGCCTGGTATCACAGAACGGGCTGGCACGCAACCTCATGGGAAGAGTTCGAAGTAGAGTTCAAAAGGAGATTCATCGACGAAAAAGCTATTCGGAACCGAGCCCGGAAACAATTGGCAACCATGACGAAAGACCCGGACATGAAATATGTCCACCATTTGAGTCACGTGCTGGAATGTTGCTACGAGATTGATCCAGAAATGTCGCACGAAAATATCATCGAGAAGTGTCTGAAGACACTATCACATGAGGACATTCGCTCATTCGCAGCAGCACAGCCCAAGTCAGTCAACGAACTCAGGGATCATCTCGCTTGGCTTGACCAAACACTTCCGTTCTGCAACAAGGCTGTCGAAAGCCCGTTTTCGGAATCGTCAGAACGAACGATCAACCAGCTCTCATCATACCGATCTCGATCCAACT